AACATCACCTCATCTAGATCTCTGTGCAGATATACCAAGCAGCAATCATGAAAAACTAGTTTAAAATCTATTTCACTTGAAGCTTTTTCTATTAAATGAAAGAGAAATAATTTTCATGTCAACAAAACTCCATATTCAGACAAGAAAATCAGTAGCCAAATAGGACATTTCTATAATGCTTGAGAATTCAATATCTTCCTTGACTTCATTTCTTTGTCTGGGTATTCAAGCAGGCAGCAGCCTATCACTTACAGTCCCTGTCACTTCCTGTTCCAGTTCATTAAACTCTAGGCTTTCCCCGGAAACACACAACCTATATGGAGATCCTTCTGCCAGTCCGGAAAGATCAATTTGAAGGAGGTAAAAATTGATATACAACTCTGAGCATGAAGGCCATAATAAATTGCCACCTATATATGGAATTATATTTTGTAAGGTGACAGTGGGTGGGCAGAAGCAGCAAGAGGTTATGTTTAGAACTTATAGTCTAAACAGGGCTTATTTCTTATTGACTGGCTTCTCCTTGGCTGGAATGGATAAAGTCAGAAACTGTAGCCAAGCTGGCTACCCTTTGCCTTTCTCTTTAGAAAACAGCCCAATAAGCTAGCAACATAACCAGCTTATACACAGGGGCTTGATTCAAAACTTCAGTTCTCTAAATTATTTTGCTTCTTTCCTTAGTGATGCTTAAAATTCTAGGATGCCAGAGTTACATTCACAAATATATTTATAAACACCAGACTGTACTCCCCCCCATCAAATGGCTATGGCATGCCCCACTGGAAACTAGAATAAAATAACATCCTAACATAGAAAAGAGGGGACTTGAAAAAATACAGCTGAAAAGGAAGAACCACATTTGACTTAATCTTAGTGAGGAAGGAGACAAAGATGAAAGGGGACTCTCTACTCAATTTTCCTTTGAACAATGAGTGAGGTACTTGGAATTGTAAAGGCAACATTTAGCTTTCAGGAGTATGTTGCTGCCAGGAGTGGAAAGAAAGGATCTTACACCTTCATTCCTTTCCTGGTTCTAAAATGGTGGGCAAGATGTCTGTTTTTATTGGTTTGAAGTGTTCTAACCATTGCCACAGAACAAGTAAATGATATATACATCTCTTCTTCTAAAACATCATCTCTTTTGTGAATCTGTCGAGTCCCAATTCAGAATGTTTAGCTTCCTTCGCTACAGTCTTTCATATACTTTGCACCTCTACTAATATTCGCACACTATTTTCTATGTGAGCAATGTGTTTACAGACACCCCCTCCCCAACTAAACTGTAAACTTATACTGTTCAGGGACCAAGTCATTATCTCTCTGATGCCTGCAGTGCCACATAGAGTGCTTTATTAATAATAAGAGCAGGCCGGGCTTGGTGGCTCAGCCTGTAATTCCAGCAGTTTGGGAGGCTGAGGTGAATGGATTGCCTGAGCTCAGGGGTTCAAGACCCGCCCGGGCAACTTGGTAAGACCTCATCTCTACAATAAATCAAAAAAACTAGCCGAGCGTGGTGGCATGCGCCTGTAGTTCCAGCTACTTGGAAGGCTGAGGCGGAAGGATCACCGGAGCCCAGCAGATTGAGGCTGCGGTGGCTGGGAGCGTGCCACTGCACTCCAGTCTGGGCGACAGAGTGAGACTCCAACTAAAAATAATAATAATAATAACAATAATAGCAAAATAAATGCTCGATAAATGAATACATATGGCAGTGTCAGCTGCATCATGACAAGTTAAGATGATTTTTGGAGTTCTAATAAAGTTGAAAGGCTGGGCCAGTGGCTCATGCGTGTAATCCCAGCACTTTGCAGGGCCAAGGTGAAGGATTACTTGACACCAGTAGTTCGAGACAAGCCTGGGCAATATAGTGAGACCCCATCTCTACTTTAAAAAAAAAAAAAAGTTAGTTGGGCATGGTGGCACGTGACTATAGTGCCAGCTACTTGGGAGACTGAGGAGTGGGGATTTGCTTGAGCCTAGGAGTTTGAGGCTGCAGTAAGCTTTGATCATGTCACTGAACATCAGCATGGGCAATAGATCAGGACTCCGTCTCCAAACAGGATACAGAAACCACTCTTCCTACTTAGCTGCTCCCTCCACCCCGATCTCTTTTCTCTGTATTTGGTATCGCAATTGTGTACATTTAAGAGGGAGACATAACTCCTGGGAACACATTTTATATTTAATATGTCTATTTCGATAACCCTCAAATAAACCATCTTTTGGAGAAGATCTCCAAGGCTAAACCAAACTTGATGGGGAAAGTCTGTTATTCTAGGTACAGGATAGCTCTGCTTCTTGTTATACTGTGCAACAGAAGAAATTCCAAGATTCTTCTTGGAATTTCAATGACACAATGTGTCTAAAGAGAAAAAAGCCGCATTTAGCCAGCGACAGCCATCTCAAAAAAGATCTTCCCTCTCTTTTCACTTGATTCATGTGTTATCTTACCACTGAGATTTGGCAAAACTTTAACAACTGGAGAATTCTGACCTTTGTCAACATTCTGGTTTTTGGAAATTTCTAAACATAATCAATTTCTAAACTATGATCCACAATGCACATTTTCCCCTTGCAAAACAGACAACACTTTGCTTTGACAGTTTCCAGTCTCTCATCACTGAAAGGTACAAAAGAAACTGGGAAATCGTTTGAAAATCACATAGCACTTTTGAGTTCATTAGGCCATTATCCCCAGGGTTGGATTTAATCAAAAGATGAAAAGTACAGGTTCAAAGCCTTTCAGTTAACAAGAAGCAAGCATTTGGTTTGGAATTTCTGTGTTTGAGTTTTAAGTTAGGTTCACAGAAAAGTAATCAGAAAGTAGTCTGGCTGGAGACAAGAGCCTTGAAATAAGAGGGGTGAGACCATGGGCTGTACTTGTGACTTGGTCTCTTAACAAGCTTAGGGACTTTGAGCAAATTACCTAAACTCTCATCTATAAAGGACTAGATTTTGATGATTTCTAAAGCCCCCTGTAGCACCATCAATTTTTAATTGTCTAACGTTGTTCCTTAAGCCATTGATGAGTTCATTCAGCTATCTATTTGAAAACTTTCAGTGAACCTCATAAGTAAAAATAACAGCTCCTGGCCAGGCTTGGTGGCTCAGCCTGTAGTCCTAGCACTTTGGGAGCCCGCGGGTTTGAGACCAGCCCAGGCAACTTGGTGAGACCTCATCTCTACAATAAAAAATTAGCCGAGCGTGGTAGCGTGTGCCTGTAGTTCCGGCTACTTGGAAGGTTGAGGTGGAAGGATTGCCAGAGCCCAGCAGGTCAATGCTGGGGTGGCTGTGAGTGTGCCA